CCAGGCACTTTGTGCACATGACCTGCTCAGATAGATAGAAAGTCATAGTGATACAAGGGACACTAAAAGGCAGATTGCATCTAACTTTCAATCTCTGCCTTATAAAAAAAGTCTGAAAGTCTGAATCCTGTTTAAGGTTAGGAGGAGTGATAATGCACTTCTGAGCCAGCTACAGCCCAGTGCCTATTTTTTTTTTTTCACCTGAACCATAGAAGCCATTGCTGAAATCATTCACCAGGATGACAAGCCTGGAGTGGAAGCTGAACGGCCTGGTCGGAAGCCAGGAGGGCTGGGAGTTGTCTGGGGGGTAGATCTGTGCGTCTGAGGAGAAGAGACACAAAGCAGCAGGGAGGGAGACAGTTTATGGAAGTTATTAAATGAAACATTTGGCTTGTGACAGCAGGGGCTATAGATGACAACAGGCCCTCCTGTCCATAAAAGCAACAAAAGCATACGATAAGTGTGTGTGTGTGAGAACGTTGCCTGTTGCAGGGCTGAAACTCTGAGCATGGAAACTGTCTCCTGGTTCCTGCTGTGTTCAGAAAAAAAAAAAAAGGGGGTGGTGGTGGTGATGTTATGTATATTGCTTGAAAGGAACAGGATTCTGATGAGCAAGATGCCTTCAGAAAAGTCGCTGAAGCCATCATCTGGTTCTTCCAGTGGAAACAACCTGCAAAATCAGAAACACTGGCTAAAATTCTAGCATAAAAACAAATATTGGTGCCATTCAACTCCCAGTCTACAGGAGCAATAAAGATAAGTATGATCCCCTTTGGCAAACACAAGTAATTAATTAATAAAATGATAAGTTGTAAAAAGTATTAACATTTAAACTTTCCAGAGTTTAACTATTATTAGGAAACAAGGAACACACTTGCATAGTTTCGCACAATTTTTCATAATAGCTTTTGCTTATACATTTGCATACTATACTTTAGTCTTTTACTCTGTATTTTCAACTTATACTCTGCACTACCAAAAAAGCACCTTATTCATATATGTCTCAGGGAAACAAAACACATCTGAAAAAAAAAAAAGAAAACATCTATTTTTAGCAAAAGGTGTAACTACTTTTTAAAAAATTGCAGTGTTCCTTTCCACTCCCATTTTCTAACCTTCATTAGGAAACAATGGAAGAGCCTGAAATACATGTGAACCCATAGAGAAAAAAAAAAAAAAAGGCAATGGTCATCATCCATTCATTGGGAAAAATATATCTTGCTTTCTGTGACAGTCTGAACTGTAAAAAGTTAATTTTATGAGAATATCCACACAGAGTACGCTGCAGCTAGTGGAGATCACTGGTCTGCCGTGTTTCAGCACTGGAGAGAGAGAGAATAGATTCTGAGATTGGTCTTCTTCTGTCTCCTGTATGAACAGGCTGTAGCTCTGCTTCTCTGCCCCGTGCCCAGAGCCTGGTACATCCACAGGGGTGTAAGAAAAAGAAGAAAACACCACATCATCATAGCAATTAACCATTACGAGATCACCTACATTTTTCCCAGCAGATTAAGGTAGTAAAGAACAACAAGTAACTTCTCATGCTCCCTCCGATGTCAGAACAGAGGGTAAAAGAGTGCAGGAGCAGCTTGCAGAAATGTGAAATTCTCAGTTCTTGGTGGGGTGAGAGGTGAATTTCCCGGTGCTGCAAAGAGAGAGCCCACAGGGATCCTTTCCACAGTCCTGTGAGGGATTTTATGCTGAGGCAAAGCTGGGCCATGTCACAAACTGCTGAAGGGAGTCTGGCAGTACTTGTGCCAAGAGAAGCCTGGGTGCCGTAATTCAGACAGGCCACCAACAGCCATTTCTTCTGAAGTAACTCAGTGTGTGGAGTTATTTAAAGTCTGTTATCCACGGGCCAAGAGTCCTGCTACTGACAGGTGCAGCAGAGATCCCACCTCGAGGCAGCTCTTGGAGGCCTGGTCCCACAGGAAAATGCTGAGGGGTTTTTGTCAGTCACTTACTGGAAACAGGTTCTAAGAGTTTTTTTGCATATGAGATTTATCATATGTCATCACTCATCATTACAGCCTTCTGTGGAGAACTAAATACCTTAATGCATGTTAGAAAAACAGGAGTCATCCTGACAAACTGTTTATCAATTAAAGAAATCTTGACCATTTTCAGGATTCATTTTCTAGCGAAAAAGTATGTTAAGCCTTATAGAGTTCCTGAACTGATGCTTGATAATACAATTTTTGCATTATATTATGTATACAGGAAAGTGTGGTAGCTTCATCTTGATCCCGAAGACATCTTACATAAAGAAAGAAAACTCTGCCTTCAAGGAGTCTCAGTAAGTCTGGTTTATAATGCTGGAGCTTTGAAGCTGTATCATGCCCTTATTATACAGTCTAAAAATGGACTTACAGTACAGAGAGGTAGTACTTCTTCAAATATTTTGGGACCTCTTTAATGGCCTATTTTAGTAGCCCCCAGAGTAACGTGACACATATTTAGACACTGTATCTCTATATATAATTGGGAAGTGTGAATGTTCAAAATTATCTGTTCCCCACATGCTGCCCCCAGATTTTTGATGCTGTGGAAAGAAAAGACACACAAAAGGGCTCTCTAACTTCAGTAATGATTTCCAGTTGAACTCTAATACTGATAGTCACTTGGTATCATTGAAACCTTGTCTTGTTTCTCTAACGCATTCTCTACCAACACCATTTGTATATGTCAGCTCTCAGGTAAACGGTGATACCTACAAATGAAAAGGCTCAGAAGAACTGTATTAAGAGTGTAATTCATTTTCTGTATTACTGTACATAACAGCATACTATTTAGGAATAATGCAAAATTAACTAAAACAATACAGCATTATTTGTCTTAACTATATTCTCCTCTGTGAACTAATCCAACCCCAGACATTCTTTACATACAATGATGGGTATGACTGCATTAGGCCTAGACCAGTGCTTTGTAGTGGACATTACTCCTGTTCCAACAGGCATTTTTCTGCAATGTGTTGCAATAATCCATACTGGTTTATTGCTAAATGAAATAAAACATCATCTTTTATGATAAATGAAGTAAGCCCAGAATAAGTCTGTTTTCCCCTGATCAGCAATGTGAATACGTGTTGGCTCTAATAATGGCTTCCACAAGGTATTTCAGATGAGATGTAGAACAAACAAACAAAACTCATGTAGTAGGTAACAGCAGATAGTTCTGAAAATCTTCCCTCAGGAATTTCCTTCCTCATTCTCACTGGATCACACCCCAAGCCTGAGAATTTTTGATCAGTTTCAAATGTAGATTTTTTTTTCTGGAGCCTTGGGTTCTTTTCCTGTTATTTTCATTCCTCTTTGTCCCATTATGTATAAATGTTACTGAAGTCAATGGGACTTTGTATGTTTTATGTGTTTTAATGTAAGCCCCTAAAGAGTTCCTATTTAAAATGCAGGAAAAAAATTAATGAATACAATCACAAATTTAAGAAAAATCTGGGTTTGAATCAGCAAGATTTGACTATTGTAACCTTACTGGTGACTGCATATCCTAGAAGAGTCAGATGATGGTTTGTCATTTGTTTCTTGGACTAAATGCTAAATTAATAGGATGGATTTGTCAAATCATGGTATGTAGTTTATTTTTTGGTAATACAATGGTACATGTTCTGCTTTACTTCAAGGCTTTTACTTAAAGGTTGTAGGTTGTAACCCTATGGTCACATTTTATATGCTCTGCAGTTTGGCAGCTTCCCCTAATGGAAGCTTCTTCTGCCATTAGTGTAGATGCATTTGCTTCTTGGAAAGGAGAGGGCTCGAAATTGGTAAAAATTGATTCTGGAAGCATCCAGGAAAGGTGTAATCTCAGTACGGTATTCCTTGAAGCTTTGCAAAACACCCTTTTTGTGTGCCAGGTAGATTTTTAACTACTGTAGATCTAGAAAAATACAGGTATAGGACAGGGACTCAAATGCTACTTAACCAGAATAACGCTGATTAACCCACCGAGCTATTAAACTGCACTGTAACTTCTCCAGCTTCTTAAGACTTATCTTACTCATATATATGAAACAGGTTTAGAATTGCTTACTGAGGTTATTTTGGCTTTCCTGTTCTGCACAAAATTTGGTTTCCCCCAGGCAAATAAAACAGTTCAATTTCTAATGTAAGCTGTGCTCACAAATACACAATTTGCAAATTATAGAAGGCTGCAATTAAAGTGTAAATGGAATAAATAACACTGGCTCAGCAACTACTTACAGAAGCATGGAAATTCAGTCCCATGATACACCAAGTCACATGGAACAGGACTAAGAAAGTTCTGTGTACAAAATGCATCACATCTACATTATAGTAGAATAGCATCTTACCAGCACATATAGGTTATATATTTCTATGTGCTATATTTCATGAAAGAAACAGATAATGACTACTCTGGCAGAGAGGCAGTGAATGGATTCAGAATGTTTGCTGTCTTGTGTACCACCACGTTGCTGCTGCAGTGGCTACTGTTACTGCCTGGAGTCAGCCCTCCCAAAATTGCAGCTGTGCACCCATGGCCGTTCTTTGCAGTACAGCAGATTGCATGATGCCAAAAATTTTTGGTCCTCTTAGGTGTCACAGCCTATGCTGATAAAAACAAAAGGAAACCACTCTTTTTTTTCCCCAAAAAGCTTTCGGTTTCCCTTAGATCCTAAGAATGTAATAGACTTTCATATAATTCACCAGATAAAAGTATTCATACTAAAAAATATCTTAGATTTTTTTTTCTTAAGGTTTCTAAAAGTTTCTACCAAGGTTTTCTTAAAATATGGACTCATCTGAAAAAAACAGAATTACATTCAATGGTGGCAAATTTGACTTACTATAATAAAGTTTAAATTAGAAGTTAAACTAATCTATTTTTAATAATAAGCATTATTTACAAGTATAACTGATAACAAGTTCTTCCATTTCTTAGGGATAGATCATGACATTCTTGGGAAAAAAGGAAATACTAAGAACTCCCTGGCTTGTGGATTGCAATGTCCATGGTCTGAGAGAAAGTGACAGAGCAGGGAGAGAATAGACCCTTCTCTGCCTGGATCACGTTGTTACCAAGCCTTCAGTGATATACCAGATACTAAAATAGTTGCTGGCTTTCCACATAAAGAACATGTAAGTAACTTTCACAGAAGATAATTATGTTATTGATTTTAAACAGTATTATTTTAGCAAAAACTAAGAGGCATTTGTTTTAACAGGGTATCGCTATGGTTTGTGGTTTTTTTTTTTTCTTTTAATGTGCTCATAGTTTAAGACAGTTGCATATCTTTGGTTTTCACTTGATAGTTTCATAGTAGATCTTTATATGTGTAATAAAAACTTAGTCAGAAAAAGATATTGATTGATACAGCATAAATATGAGGGTGGTGAAGCACTGGAACAGGTTGCCCAGAGAAGCTGTGGATGCCCCATCCCTGGAGATGTTCAAGGCCAGGTTGGATGGGGCTTTGAGCAACCTGGTCTGGTGGGAGGTGTCCCTGCCCGTGGCAGGGGGGTTGGAACTCAATGATCTTCAAGGTCCTTCCAACCCAAACCATTCTATGATTCTATGAAATATGGCAAACACAATGTAAAGAAATATGTTGCTGTAGTGTAAAAAAAGAAAGAAAGAAAGAAAAAGCAACAAAAAAACATTAGAGGAAGAACAGGATGCCCACAAACTTTTAGCTATGGTCTAATTTCAAGTTAATAATTGGTAGACTATTTGTGTTCAGGGAGGAGCAGGGAATTCAGAAAGAAAAAGATGATAGCACATTAAGCTAGTTTCCTATTTACTACCGATGTTTCTGAATTTGGAGATAAATCAGAGCTTTACCGAAGACTAGATTACACATCACACTGAGAATTGTCTTCAAAGATTTGTTTGAGAAATCCCTGTTAGGCACACTAAGTAGAGGGATTCCATTTTTGTATGTTGCTTTTAGCATTGCAGATGGCAGTGTTGGAATAAATAAAATAGGAAATAGTTTGCTTCAGTATGCAGGTGGAAGTGGGTCACTATCTTAAGCAGAGGCTCCCAGTACAGAAAGATCAATCGGATTCCCTCTTCCCTGTTTAGACAGAAGCATTCAGTCAGACATGAAAGAGATTTCAGCATGACATGATTTAAATTGGAAAATTTCAAAGTAACTGATAAAGCTAAATAAAATTCCCAAACACACTGAAACAGAACTCGCGTCACTTTAAAACAGCTTCTTAAAACAGAGAAATTTTTACTTACTAGGTAAGGAAGCATAGTCCTTCTTAGGACATAATCAGCCCAGATCTGATCAGACCTGAGCTGAACAACTAAGTTACTTCAGCCTGCATTTGGTCATAGGTTAAAAATTAGTTCCTCTTTCCCTCCTTGTGCCTTTAACACACATTGTGCCCACATCAGACCTCATGATCATTCATTTTTTTGGTGATAAAAAATATTAGAGAAATGTAATTTAAGAAGCTTTGTCGGTATGCTTCAAACAAATCAAACTAAGGATGATCAAACATGAGGAGGAACTTCTTTACTTTGAGGGTGGCAGAGCCCTGGAAGAGGCTGCCCAGAGAAGTGGTGGAGTCTCCTTCTCTGGAGACATTCCACACCCACCTGGACACATTCCTGTGCAACCTGCTCTGGGTGGACCTGCTCTGCTGAGGGGGGTTGGATTAGATGATCTCCAGAGGTCCCTTCCAACCCCCTATCATTCTGCGATTGTGTGATCAGTAACTGATACAGCTTAGAAAAAACTACAGGACTTCTTTCTTTTATTAAATCAGACCAGCTATCTGATGGTGGCTCAGAAATATTCCTAAACCCTTGCTCTGGTGAGAGGGATGAACTGAATCCAGGGTTACAGGAAAGAATGAGGGTGTCAGTTCTCTCAACTAGTATTGCCATTGAGAAAAGAGCACAAGCAGCTGAACCCTATGCGTAATAATGAAGTTAAAATGTACATGTAATTGCTATAATTAATTACTCCAGTCCAGGCTGCCTCCTTCTCAAATATGACGGCTCCTACTGTGCATTTCCAAGTCAAAGTAACCTGCTAATTGAGATATAGCAATCAGATAGGAAAATTACGGAAGATGACGTCAGGTATATCAAGCCACAGTTAATCAGGAGAATTTAGATGTAATGTCTTTGAAATGAATGTTATCTGCCAAGGAGCCAGTGACCCGTCTGGGCTGGTGTGTGAGCCTGTAAACACGAGCCTGCTGCCTTCTCCAGAATCTTCATCCATGTAAGGACTTGACAAACACTCTTTTAAATAAAGCACTGCAGCCACCTAGCCTTGAAAAGATGCAAGTGTTCTGTAACACTGATCACAGCCTGGAATTAAGCAAAAGCCTTCCATGTATTTGTAGATACTTCAGGCGCCAGCAAAAGATGGATCAGGTGAAGCCAATAACACAGAAACAAACTGAATGAAGTAACTGAAAGTAACAGAAATCACCAAAAGCCAACAGTGATCTAAATGTCCATCTTTCTTGAGTCTGTCTGTACAAAGTTGCAGGACGGTCATTTTTGTTTGGCTCATAATCAATTCTTGCTAATGCCATGTTCTCTGGTTCTGCCTAACACCGATGAGATAAGGAACAAATGGATCAATGCTCTCATTGTATTTACTGGGAAACCAGTAGTCGGGACAGAGGGTTCAATTCCCTGAATCCTAATTATACATTAATTTGCTAGAGTACCTCTTTAGACTGCCATAAATTATGAACAAACATTATGCCACAAAAATACGAGAAGAGGAAAATAGTGTCAGTGGTAGAAAAAGTAGACAGAAACAAATAAAACCTGTGCTGCTGCTAAGGCACTTCTAATTTTCCTCTGCTGTCTACCGACCTCTGCGTCATTCCCAGACCATAAATCCTGTAGAAAACCTCACCTGCCTCCTCTCAAAAATTCTCAAGTTGTGCACCCTCTACTAAAAAAAGGCTCTTATTTCACAGAGATTACCTGCTCGTCTGGACTCTGATTCCTGCTTTTCTGAATGGTAAAGACAGCAGAGAAACCCTGGTAGTACCTCACAGCAAAAGAAGGTAACAGCAAACATTCCTATTCTCCTTTCTCTAAAGGGAATTTTCAAGAGGGCAATCAGACTTTCGGCATTAGTTAACTACCAAAATGGATTTTTGATTTTCCATTCAGTGACAGAACTAGCTGAGAACGAGAAATGAAGAACACACAACATAAAATCAAAACTGGGTTGAAAAACTGAATTCAAAGGATGGTCACAAATGTACTTTTTATTATTTTCTTGGCGCACAGTAGTTTTAGAAATTTCTCTCAGAGGTTTGAAAGGATTAAGAAGGAGATCTAGCATGGCAGCAGTTTGATGGTCTCTGCTGTTGAGAACAGGTTGCTGGTACGGATTAACTTGGCTGGACAGTCCCTGTTCTTCTCATAGGCTGTTTTGTTAACGAACGAAGTACTTTTTTTGTTATTTTTAAATTCCCTGGAAAAATTCAGGCTCCTGGTTGAAGAAAAATGCATCCCATTTGTAACACTGTATAAGCTGAATACACACAGGTTTTATGCTTTGAGCTATACATCCTTTTTTTAATAATTCCACTTGCAGATACTTTATATGAAAAAAAAATCCAAGCTCTTGCTTATTGGTATTTATATGGTCATATTGGTAAAACACCAAATTATTAATCTCAGCTCTGCTTGCTACAGTCTAAGAAAGATTCGTCAGAATAAAAATCTTGTACGGCCGATGCTTCCTTATACATAAAAAGAACAGCCTTGTGCCATCCTCAGTGATAGGAAGTGACAGGCAGAGCGTGACATCACTCTTTATTTTTAACTGACTGACTTGTAGTGAATTTACTTTGCTGTCAGTAAATATTACAGCAGTGTTAAGGCACATTTAGGCTTTACGGAGACAGAAGCCCTGTGCTGAGTTTGATCCCAGAAGCCGGCACTTCTTAGCTTCTGAAGGGAGAATCTTTATCACCAAATTTGTCACATGGTTTGCATCCACAGACAGATTTATAAGAATATGTCTCAAGAGAAATGCTGAAGTACACATCAGGGGTTTACAACCTCCAGAGGCATCCATGTGAATTTTACCACAGCTGTAGCAGATAAATTAACCAGTTACAGAAATATCAAATGCTGTAATCAAGAACGTAGGTTAAGTCAGCAAGTAATGGACTATTGGTATTTAATTAAACTTGCCATCAATCTAAGTCCAACAGCTTTTAACAGAGTCTATGTTCTTACTATCACTAATATCACCTTCTTAGCATCACTACACATGCAGTGCCTAAAATAAGATAGGGTCAGTTAAGTTGATTACCAGAGAACATTAATTAAGACATGTTTCTATTCTTCTCCTGCAAGCAGCGAGAGTCTTTAAAATGAAAAACTGGAGAAACTGCACCTTCAGGATTCCCCAAGAGAGCAGGGATCCAGCACAGGCCGTGCTTATGGACTTTGTCCTTCTTAACGCTCCTGCTCTAATTCACTTCAGGAACTATTAGCATGCATTAAAAGTCTGCAAACAGCATCTACACAACTTAAAACCATCAAGCAATTACTTTGTGGCTCATTCACACAAAAGCTGGAATTAATGAGCCACTAATCCTCTGGTAAGACACCTACGAGTCTTGGTTGACCCTGCACTCATGTGGAAGACCATCAGGCTCTCGTGCTTCTTGCAACAGGCCAACAGTCCTTTGTGTTGCTTTTTCTGCCTTCCTTTCTCTCAGAGGATTTTATTTCTTTTCATGCTTATATTTTTCTTCTTGAATCTTTAAACTGATTCCATCTGAACAGTTTCACCCCTGTCTACAATTTTACCTTTCTTGTGTGGCTCAAGGTCAAGTAGTTTCTCACAACTCTCTTGCACAGTTTAGCAATTTTTGGAGAAGTCAGCGGGAAGGTTATTTGGTTGGGCTGAAAGAGAGGGGCTGCACCCTGGTTACGCTGCATAGCCCCCCAATTCTGAATTGTCCAAGATTTCCATGTGGAGTCTGTCTTGTAGATGGCATCTGCTTATAAAATTAATCTTCTGTCACTGAATAAAGCAGAGAGGTGCCCATAAGGAAACAGTATGCAAGTTAATGAGAGACTAAGAGGCACAACATCCCTAAATATCCCTTACCACAAGAAAGACATTGAGGTGCTGGAGTGTGTCCAGAGAAGGGCACCAAAGCTGGTGAGGGGTCTGGAGAGTAAGTCTTCTGAGGAGAGACTGAGGGAACGGGGGTTGTTCAGCCTGGAGAAAAGGAGGCTGAGGGGAGACCTTCTCACTCTCTACAGCCCCCTGAAAGGAGGGTGTAGCGAGGTGAGGGTCAGTCTCCTCCCAAGGAACAGGTAATGGGACAAGAGGAAACAGCCTCAAGTTGTGCCAGGGGAGGCTCAGGTTGGATATTAGGGAAAATTTTAACACAGAAAGGGTTATGAAGCCTTGGAATGGGCTGCCCAGGGAAGGGGTTGAGGCTCCATCCCTGGAGGTGTTCAAAAGACGGGCTGACATGGTGCTGGGGGACATGGTTTAGTGATGGCTTTTTTGTCAGAGTTAGGTTGACGGTTGGACTGGATGATCTTGAAGGTCCCTTCCAGCCTAGATGATTCCATGATTCTAAATACTTCCAGGTACCGTTATCCACAGAAAAGCTCGGAAAGCCCTCAGCGGGCGAGCCGTGTCCCACCCCCCCCCCCCCCCCCCCCCCCC